GATTTCAAGCAGCTCACAGACTTTTTCAAATTGTATTGATCTTCCAAAGCCTGTTAGTTAGACTTAAACCATCATGACACAGTGCTTATTGAGTAACTAAAACCTTTTGAGAGTTCACATTTTATTCTCCAGGAGATCACCATAAAACAAAGGGCTGAAAAATCCCATTTGGATGTGAATCTTTAATACGGCTGTTTGGAAAGCTGCTGCTCTGGCATTAATTTGGGCAGATAATCAAATAAGTATTAAAGCACACAATTATGCAAAGATAAAATTAGCACAGAAAAAGCTCTAAGTTAAGCCAAAAGAAAATGGTTTAGAGAGACCATTTGACAATGGCCTTTCAAACAAAATTAGAACAGAACACCAGGGTTACTTTATATTCAGGATTACAGATTGGCAGCTGTGCTGGTGGTACCTGGTATGTAAATATAGGGCGAGCATTTGTTTTATCCCTCAGAGGCCCCTGTGGCTGGTAGCTGGAGCCTTTCTGTTGAGTTTAAGCTTTGGGTTGGGCTCCATCACCTGAGCGGGCAGTCCCCAGCTCTTTTCATCAGCAGCTTGCAGGAGGCGCAGGAGCAAAGCTCATAGCAGAACCGAGCTCCAACAGGAGCTCCGTTCAATTACGCCCTAACATAAAACTGTAGCTAATGCGCTTTTACCAGATGTCCTGATGAAATACTATTAAGAGCCGGTGCATTGCATTAATTAAAGTGAAATTTCGTAATGAATTCTTCTTGCGAGGCAGACCGGGGATGAAGTAGTGACCTACATAACCTCCCTTTGCTTCAAAGCAGCTTCACAAAATGTGTCCCCGGCTGCAGCAGGAGGGTGCTGGGCATCATGCCGGGGGCTGAGTGATGCCCTGCGGCACCAGGCCAGCCTGGGGCCCTGTGCAGGCAGCACCCCACAGCAGCAGCAGGGCCCTGGCCGAGACAGGACGGCTTTCCAGGCGTAACAGGCGGCTTTTGAGCTCTTCCTGGCCATTCTCGGCGAGCCAGCGGTCTGACCCTCTGCCGTACAAACAGTTAAACGTGCTTTCATTTGCATGGACGAGGCTTAGTCTGTGTCATTAAAATATAATCCACGATGCACAACAAAGGCACAGCTGGCAGGCTCAAACCCGTTTCTGCAAGCGTGTTAGGAGAGTAAGCTCTGCATAGCTCGGGCATGGGGGGAGAGAGCAGGCAGAAGGGAGCCCTCTGTTCCTGGCATATGCTTTTAAAAGAGAAAACATGCCTGTGAATTCTGCTTATGCCTGCATTAGTACATTTTTATCCGTGCCTGTGGTTTAAAAGATTAAAAGCTCCATATAATGTCCGTACGCTTCAGTGTATGCTGCATGGCTGCAGCAAGGCGGGACTGTGCCAGCACATCCTAATTGCCTGCAAGATAATGGTGTCATTAAAGCCTCGTGTCCCTGTGAGCCTTGTGCTCCTCGACAGCAAAGATGCTTTTACTGCTGGTTTCATGAGAGCCCTCAGCCGCTGCTGAACCACACGTCCACCCAGAGGTGCTGGCAGGCTGCGCTCTGCGCTTGCTTTATTTCCCTGCTTCTTGCTTCTCAAGCCAGTGGAAAGGGGAGGGAAATGAAGGAAATGAGGGAAATGCAGACAACTGTTGATTTTTCATCAAAAAAGCCAGAATATAAATCATATCTTATTCAGTTAGAAACTGTGAGGGAAAAGCGGCTGCAATGCTTCCAGCAGCAGGACGGGAGTGTGCTTCTGGGAAAGGAGGTACATGCCACAGAGTGCCAGCTTTGCTGATGATCCTCAACTAGGGAATTGTTTCGGCAGAAAAGCTGTGATCTGCTTCTTTATTCATACAAAAGGCATGCAGCCCTGCAATGACGCCTTAATTCACAGCACAATTTCAATTAGGAGATGACCTCACTTGAAAACATTCAATTCTGCTATGTAATTTGTTCCTCCCTGCCTTGGTAACACCTCTACAAGGCAGAACAATGTTTATGCAGGTAAACTGATCACATGCCAGTTCACGCGGGTGCGTTATTTCTTTTCACCTGCACTCCCAGCCCCACTGCGCTTGTGCTTTGGGAATTGTCCTTCTGCTGGCTCTGCCCTGCTCAGTTGAGGATTTTGTGTTCACTGGGGTCAGCAATAAAAGGCCAGCCAACAGTGACAGTGACATGCAGTGGTGGCGTGCAGAGATATCTGATTAATAAGTGTTTTCTGTATTTTTGCCATACAAATGTCTAAGAACTAGTGTGAGTGATGTCTGCTAAGCCAGTACAGTGAGCTGCTTGCCTTGCAGAGGGCCTGCCGTCCACCTGACCTCATAAAATCATTGCAGTTAAATGTACTCTCACTTATGCTGAAGAGACTTATGGTAAGCCATTACAATATAATTCCGAATGCTCACCAAATGCATGCATTACGGATAAAATTGCTTTGCAGTGCTGGTGCAGGATACTGCCGAGCAGAGTGCTTGTACTTTGCAGCACACGAGTAAACCAGCACTGCACGAATGTGTGCCCAGATCATGTTTCCTTTCACATTTTTCTTCTTTTCTGCCCCTCATCCTTTTAGCCTTTGCTCCTCCATCACTGGCCTTCCATCTCAGCCCCACGGGGCTCAGTCAGGACCCTGGTGCAGGCAGCTCCCAGCCGCAGACCCGTAGCCTGCAGCACACGAAGGCAAAGCTGCAGCCGGTGCGTTCACAATAGGGGATGGTTTTCTTCTTGTTATAAAGGAGCAAAGCACAAATGGCAATAAATCCATGAGCCTTTTGGCTTAATCCCATCTCTGACACAAGAAAGAAAACCCTGCCTGACAGCCACAAGCTCTCTGTGAAGAGTCGGCTCTTCCTATGTTTCCCTAACTATAATTTTACTCAGTCATGTGCTGTCATCCTCCAATCCTTCTCTAGTGTCACTTGAAAAAATCTGTTGTCGATTATAATGACAATGCACTGAGGATGGCTTGCAGTGGAGAATGGCGCTTTATAGCAGCCGGCTGTGACAAATTTGGGCTGCCAGAGAACATTGTGTGTGTCCTAGAGATTATAGCTTTTAAAATAAAACCCTCATTCTCGTTCCCTGGGGCTTTTTAATGAATTGCCACATGTAGCAATGCCTTAACTGAAGCATCAGTGATTAGCCATGTACCCATCTGACTGTGGCTCGCTGCGAGGTATTTGTGAAATAAAATCAGGGCCAACACCCTGTGCAATGCAAACCTGCTTGAAGAGCTCTGCTGATCTGCTGGTGCTAAAGGTACCCCCAGCTTTAAAGGCAATGATATCGTAGTCACCAAAGGTGCAATAGCTTTCAAAGAAGTGGGACTTCGGTGGCTGCCCCACGCCCTGAGCCACGCACCAGTTGCACCACAGCCCAGGAAGCGGGCTGAGAGCAGCAGGTGCCACCCTGACCCCAGGATTATTCAGACACCTGGACAAAGGGAAATCATGGTTCACACTGCTGGCAGGAGCTGGTGTGAGGCCAGGAGCAGCAGTTCTGCCATACAACCCAGGGGAAGCAGTTCCTGTTGGGTATATGCCCGTGAGGCTGACCAGTGTCCCCTCACACAGGGCTCCGGGTGCCCAGCAGCCCAGGCTGGCCGATACTCAGCTGTCCGTGAGCTCAGAGCTGGCAGCCCAGCACGATTCCTTGCTGCCAGCCCCATGCCTGTCTCCTGTTGCTTCTGGGCTTGCTGGCAGCCAGGGTAGATCTGGGTCAGCGTCTTTCCGCAGTATTTCTCTTCCTTTCCTGTCTTTGCTGGCAGAAGGGGATGTGCCAAGACAGCACTGAAGGGCCATTGAGTGGTGAGGAAGGACAGACAGGGAATGGCAGGTTTTGGTTTAACTATGTAGGATCTGTGCACAAGTGCACGGACACACAGAGCATGAGCAGGCAAATTTCAGTAAAAATCAGAGCCTGATACACATGTATGAATATATCTTCAATGTACTGCACAGATCCATTTGAGTCAGTGGGAAACTCGATGTTTGCTTTTCTACTGTGGTTAATAGCTTCTCAGTTTTTCATAATTTTAATACATTATTGTTAATACATGTAGCAATCTAAGGGTAAAAATGTACTTAGAACCAACGCAACTCTGACTGTTGGGAAGTTCACAGAAGAAAACAAATAAACAAAAAAATCTATCTTGTCCCTATCCCCTATCTCAGAAAACATGCGGGAGAACCGGGATGAGTAAAAGCTCTTGTTAGTTCTCTCACGCTTTGCTGTTAGTAATTGGTTGATATTTCGGGGATGGAATAATCTGTGGAAGTTACTTTCTGTAGCATGCGTTGCTAACCCTGTGGTTTCTTAAGAAGATCCTTTTGAAATTAGACACAGCTTCTGGAATCTACCCAGATGCTGCTTTTCAAGCCAGCGGCTTTGTATAAGCATCATCAATCATGCCACTGGCTCTCATTGCTACTGTACATCGCCTTTCTACCTGGTTTGAATTCCTAATTGACCCGGCCTCACCACTGACCGCCTCGAGGAGCACGGTGGGGCGGGCAGGGGGTTTGGGGCTTCCACAGCTGGAATCTGGAAGCTTTCTTGCAAATTGCAATGATAAAGTCCATTTCCTGGAGAAAACAGACACTAAGCAGTTGGTAGCAGGGTGAGTAAGAGTCGGATGTGGTGGGGTATGAGATGTATGAAAGTATGTACGGCTGGCTCCATTATCATCAGACCAGTTGGCCTGGCAGCTGCTTCTATCATGTGTTTCAGGCTCATGCGCTGTAACACAAGCACATGAGAAATTGTTTGGACAGGAATGGAGCAGATTATTCAAGAGACAAGACTGATTTTCTGATCTAGGTACAGAAGAAGCTCTGTGAAATGTGATTTTTGATGAAGGTTTTCTCTTTCTCTGCCTAGGAAACCACTGCTGCTCTCCCTTTCCTGCATCTCTCATTTTACACCTAACTCTTTGTTACAGTAAGCAATGTTAAGCGGGTGAGAGCACCCCATGGGCTGGTAACCCCAGGCACAGCGATGGACCAGCAATGATAGGCCATGGCCCTGTTCAGCTGCAGGCACAATAAAATCCAAGGTGGCTTGGAGCTACCTTTCCAACTCAGGTGCAGAGAAAGCACAAATAGGAGCTCAGTTCACATATAGAACATTTATTACACATATAAGACATTTATTTCACTGTTTTGCATCCCCTGTAGCCCCCACCCCACTTACATTAAGCACTTACACATGCTGCTGGAAGCCAGGGCAGCTGTACTCATCTATCAAAGCCTGTCAGCTTGAGAACATAGGCTCTTCCCATTAATTAAGCAAATGTAATGTGATTAGCTAAGGCTGTAAATGTTTCACTTAGAAAGCTACAAAACACTGAGCCTCACAGCTCTCATTTTCACACACTTGTGCAATCTTGGATGCTCCTCTGGGGCTGAGAGGTTTGTTCTCAAATTTCTGCATGAGAGAAAATGGGAAGATGTAATAGAAAGCATTGGGGATGGGTCTTTGTATTCTTTAAATAGCTGTTTGAATTATAGGAACCTGAAGAAGAAATTAATTTCAATGCTTCTTAAAAAACAAAGCAAAAAAACACCACTTCTGTCTACCTTTTAAAATGGATGTAACAAGATCTGCTGGAAACTAAAATTTTGGTAAGAACGTATACCTTTTTTAAGTTTTCTACATACTTTGATGAAAAATATATATTAACATTTAAAGATCTAAATTGGGGTACTTTCAGCTGTCAAGCTGAAAGCACATAGAACATTCAGTGAAATCTGGATGTAGAATAAGAAAATTCTTGGAGTTAGAATAGTATGAACAAGACCTACTTAAGGACTTAAAAACCTAGTGCAGGATAAAGGTGTCTAAATCCAATACTATGATGCTGAAAAGCCTTGCTTTAGCTTTTGGCAGACTCTCAGGATGTGTGAAACCTAAAGGGACCTCTCTGTTTCCCCAAAATGTTCACCGTCATTGTAACTTCTTGTTCCCATCCTCAGCATGTAACAGGCATCCACAGTTCTTTAGGATCCAGAAAGTTAGCATTCCTTTCCCTAAATCCCCATAGTGGCTCAGCCTGGCAGGCATGCACTAAGAATACCCCAGACAAAGTGGCTGTGCCTATGCAGACAAATCAGGGCACTCTCAAGCTCCTAAGAGGGCTCCTACCAGCTTGCATCCACACATGGTTCACTGAAAGTTAAGCCCAGTGCCTGATGTCTTGCCCTCAGTGCTTGGGATCAAAGTCCTGGTGCATCTCATGCTTTCATGTGGATGTGAAAAATAGCCTGGACTCAAATCAGAAGAGTCATTTCCTGAAGCCAAATGCTTTTAAACAAACCACTCCACCAAGCCCTGACATACTATATGTAATCTTTTTAGATGACCCAAATTGCCAATTTTGTTTCCAGAAATCTGCTGTTTTTTTTCCATACAAGAAGTTATCATCACGGCAGGCAAGGCAAGAGTGAGGATGTGTGCCTGGTGAACTCCTTTCCTTCAAGACACAAAGCTTTATGGGCACTGCATTAAGGCTCCACAATCGCTATGTCATTGTTCACAGAAATGTCCTGAGGGACACTGAGAGGAAAATGTTCCTTGAAAGCCCTTTACCTCCCTACCTGCAACTGGCCAGAAAGCTGCTGAATTTCCCTGCAATGTAATGCTGTGGGTTTTTTTTTTTTGTTTCTTTTTTTTTTTTTTTTTGCAAAGCTTCCCTGCTCTGGGCTGGCAGCAGGGAAGGGGTGGCAGTCGGCACATCATCCCCCCTGTCAGGAAGAGGTTCTGCCACACCGCCGTATGCCCTATGCTTTCTGTGGGCTTGGTATCTTAAAAGTACACTGCCTGCCCTGGCCTTTCCCCAGGGAGCACTTCTGACAGCCAAGGGGAAGAGGGCTGACGTTACAATGATCATCTCTAGGTGAATGTGGGACTAGATGTCAGGTTAGGCCTGCGGTGCTTGAGACCAGGCCGGGTCTCTGTGGAGGCCTGTTTGTACAGACAGGGCCACGAACAGGGCTGGGCTCTTCTCTGGCAGCCGGCCGTCACAGCTGCTGGAAGGGACACAGCAATGCCACGTCTCGTAGAGCTCCCTCATGCTGGGATCAGCAAGAAGCAGGAAGCCAAGTGTTAAATTGCTTTTTGGCTGAAAGGGATTGAAAGAGCTCTCCCTGTGGAGACAGTGCCTCATACAGGCATGTGTGAGCTGTTGAGTGGAGGAATTCCCCATCTCTCAGAGACTAAAAGTGGAGAAAAGGACTGCCAGGCCTACATGCACTTGCAGAAGAGGATGCAATACTGGAGTTTCATGTTTTGGGCCTTCACCTGTCTAGCCAAGAGTCCATAGGACTGATCAGTTACTGCAACACCTCCCAGCAAGTGGCTGCAGTTGTCTCCAGCCCACCAGCAGCCGCAGGTTGTCTTTCCTTATGCTGTTAGACCCAAGTCCTCAAAGGTGATTCCAGTGACCGTAAGTTACTGAAACAACTCCAGGAGCCTACAGATCAGTACCTTTCAAGAACAAACAAGCTATCCACCTGATTTCTGAGGGCACATCAGCACCGAAAGAGATGCCAGGCAAAGTAATGGTTTTGTGACAAGCTCTTAGGAACCTGAATCTAGTGAAAAATGTGTTAGCCTGATGCACAGGATATTGTGAAGCTCTACCAGGTGCCCTTCTGCTTCCCCAGGCAAGATCATCTGAAGTGTTGATGCCTCAGTGGCATTTAGATGGCTGAATGCTTTCAGAAATTTGATCTCCACCTTCCTAAGAAATGGGAACTTTTCCCTGCAACTCATGCTACTGAGGTTTAGCCTCCACCAATAATACCAGAAGCCTAAATATTTCATCCAGAGTACCCAAACAGCCTATTTTGTACCTCAGTTTGATGCTGTCATTCAGTTAATATTAATGTAATAGTTCCTTTAAAAAGATTGTAATTATATTTACCAACACAGTCACCAAAGAGCCGTTCATAACTTGTATATATAGTTGCAATCCAGCATGTGTTGTGAGTATTTTATAGGGTTAGTCCTAACATCACAAGCTAATAATACTGAGAGCAGGGAGATGGGTAAATCACAGGGGACGCTACACTCAGTATATAGCTAACAGTGATTAAGTAGTCTGCTTTCAGAAGAAAGATAAGGGCCAAAAAGAATAGGTCCCTCGATAACATCAGGTAATTCTTATATATGGTCCTTCACGACACAGGCATAAATCACAATAAGACCCATCTGCAGATCTAAGGGGTGAAATCATAAATCCTGCTTTATAAATGAGACCTGCACATCTGATAGTGTGCACTGCTCCAGATTTACAGCTGCTGTAAATGATGTACCAAGGTTCACAAACCCATTTGCACTCTCTGGCTGGGAAGAAGAAAGGAGTCGAGATTTTCCAAGGGAGGCAGATATATTTCAAGATATACTCAGAAATGAGAGGGACCGTGTGTGCAAGTGAGAAACTGATGTTTTACACACACTTGTCATATCTTGACTTTACACTTGAGCCGCTCTCATCTGGCCCTGGTTCCCTTACAGCCATAGTACTCAGTTGTGCCTTCCCTTTTGCTCCTAAGCCTGACGGGTAAATGCAGCTGATAGAGCCAATAGATAGAGCTTTGGCTGGTTGCTGGAGCACACTAGATGCAAATAAAACCTTTCATGTTGGTCAGGAGATCTGGCTGTAGCTTTGCATGCCATCTTCTTCTGCTGGGGTAGTCCAAAAACCAAGTGTTCATTTAAGCAAGTGCAGGGCTGGGAGCTGGATGCTCCAGCACCAACACTACCTGGGTTATGGTCCATCTGCTGGACAAAGATGGCCAAGTCAGCTGTTGTCTCCTATGGGCTTTGGAGGGTGCATAGTCCTCAGGACAGGCTCATCTCCCTCCATGTTTGGAGGACCTTTGGAACATCCTGAACTTCCTAAGACCTTTACATTTGGTGTCCATTAAGATGTGACACACCCAGACTGCTGGTTTAGGCAGCTAGTGATGGGGCACTCCCTGCACGGGCTTTCACTGCAAAAACTCTTCTCACCCCTTCCTTTTATGTAACTTTACTGCAAACTTCCAGCACGCTTTGCAGCTGAGGTTAGAGCAGCCTGACAGTGCTAACTTCTCTTCCTGTTATGGTATTTCTGCAACAGCAAATTTACATTTCTATATAATTGAGTCCAGCAGCTTTGCCTTTTTCAGAGCAGCATGGAGCTCCCAGGCGTGATCTCCCTGTGTTTCCAAATGTCATCTATGTAAAGTTCAGTACCTCCTAAGCAATCAAACATGGTGCTGTGTTTTCCTCCAAAACGCCTCAGGGAATGAGCATAACTGAAATGTCAGCCTGAGGAACAAGTGTCTCCCAAAGGGTGAATGGAGTTTGTGGAAATATGTACATTGTTTCTTTAAGGGCACCTGCCAGACATCTGATGATGCATATAAAACTATTTTCTATCTGTCATCTCCCCAGAAATCTTTCTTTTGAGGCTAGTAAAAAAAAAAAAAAAATACAGATTTTTTTTTTTTTTTCAGGTATACATAAATACAGTATTCCAGTTCTGTAACACAGGTCCCTAAGACAATTGCATCTGCGCAGTCTCTCTGCCTGCCTGTGGTAATTTGAATTTCTTGGCCATAGAAACACATGAGGCAGATGGATAGAGGCCTCCAAGAGAAAAAAAAGTTTCCATAAGCTCAATGCAAAAATCCATGACTGGAGAGAAGAGAAAAATTTTAATGCTGCTAGTGAGGGAAGAACAAGGGCTACCCCTTCTGCTCAGCGGCAGCTGGCAGTCGGCTAGCACTTGTACCAGGCTGGCTTTTGGACTGCCAAAAGGCAAAAAAAGATGAGGGAGGAACCTGGGAAGCTAGCTTAGAGGCTACGTTGAGCTTCTCATTTTCTATACCCCTTTCTGACAATTAGCTGACTGCCACAAAATGCCAGGTGGCACCTGTTTCCTTCCTGCTGCCTGGGATGCTGCACCACTCCTCATCAGCCTTTGCACCTTGGTTGAAAGCCCAAAAGCTGGGAACACCCCAGCTGCTTCTGTCACCTCCTGCCTGCTGGGAGCACCCAGATTTTTTCAGAAAAACTGGGGGAAAAAAAAAACTACTTTTTTTTTTTTTCTTTTGCATTTAGAAGGTTTATGATGCATTTGACTCTTTTTCACACTCTCTACCTCATTTCAGCATTTCCATGGTGTAGTTCATAGCTAGCCCCTTTGCCTGAGTCAGCTGAAAGCTATTAAAATCGTCAAGCAATTCAGAACCAGTTACTGTTACAAGTAAAGCTGCTTTCTGACTGTCTTCTTAATTAGTTTTGCTGGCACTTGCTGCTAACAGGAACAAAATAAAACAGAGTTTAAACCAGTTGTCTTCCTTATTTCCAGAGTTTCAAATCTAGGAGGGCTATTAGCTGCTCCATTGTTCCACTCAGACTATCATCTCCTTTTATTTTCTCTTATTTGCAAGTACTACCAGGTGTTTACTGAGGGCCAGTCATGTGGCTGAGGCTTGCCTTACTGCCTGAGCTGTTGCTTGTCACAGTCCTTGCCCAACATAACAGTCAGCCTCAGTTTGCTTGCTGCAGTGTCCCTGGAAGGTCCCAATAGCTGTGATGCTTTCAAGACAACATTTCATGATTGAATTTTACTCATTTTATCCAGCTGAATACAGGGTAAGCTTATCAGGGCTGGTGCAAGCAGCATAGTGAAATGGCCAGCAATTGAAGTGGGGTTGCTCTTTGGTGAGGAAATATTTATAGTAAGCACTTGTCATGGCTCCTAAGAGCTAGAGGAGGTAGGAGATGTGTCCTGTGGATTTGGAAGCCTGGCCCTGTGGAAGGGGGAGACCAACTACCATGAATAACAGCAGCTAAGGGCTGTGTTTGCAGAATCACAGAATGGCTGAGGGTGGAAGGAACCTCTGGAGGTCCCTTTCTTTAACCTTTAACTCCACTGGTGGGCATCACCTGTGCTCCCATTGGCACTCATCGGAAATGGTCTGCTTCAGGACTTCTTCACCCACTGCCCTCTCCATCCATCTGTCCCCACACAGTTTGCTGGCAGGGGGCGGTGTTCACACCCCCAGACAGGAAAAGCCGGTTGGAGCTGGGACGCATTACAGTTTCAGATTATAACTGATCTTCAAAGAGCACATTTAACACTGCTAGCTCGCTTCCAACAGAAGCTGTACCTTCCAACCACCCTCCTCCATACCATCTGATAGCTTTCTGATGCTGCTGCTTTCCCTGATGACTAGTGCCACAGCCTTATAGATATGCTGCGTATCTAAACCCTGCAAGACCTCCAGGGTCACCCGACCTTCAGATGTCAGCTGCCTGGGACCCTCTGGCTTGGTTCCTGCACCCTGCTTTGGTGAATCTGTTCAGCTCTCCCCTGGTGCCCTGGATATGGTGGTTCCTCCCACTACCGGAGCCAGCCAGCTGGGGAGCGAGGGACCTGGCAGCTGGGGCACCACGGCCATGGTGGAGCAAACAAAGATATTTTTGTTTCAGAGTCTGCCAGGCTGTCAGACTTCAGCCAGAGAAAGGATTCCTCACTCTTTACCTCCTGCTCCTTAAATGAATACAATTCTCCATTTCAAGTGTGTAAAACTCACTCTTTCCCCCTCTCCAACCCCCTACGAGTGAGCATCTGGAAAGTTAAAACAGGCTCCTCTGGTAGAGGAGAGCAGCTTGATTAGTTTTATGGCAGCAAAAGTGGGTTAATCGTGAAAACTGCTTCTTATGCTGTCATGGTTCAGATAAACGGGTTTAGCACAGCAAGCAGCCAAAGGGCACGCATTAGCGGTTCGTTCTGCAGCAAAGGGAGAGAGCATGCTCAGAGGACACCCCTCCGAGGCATCAGCCTGCTGCCTGTGAAGCTGGTGGCAGACTTCCCGCTGACTTCAGTGGAGCTGAGATTGTGCTGTAAATAAATATATCTGCTTCCAAAGGGTACAAGAGACAGATCAAACAGGAATGAGCTTTTCTCGTGCCTAGTAAGATCTTTTCTTCTATTTCCTCCATGGATTTCAACAGCATTAAAGTTTCATTAAAAAGAAAATGATTTGAAAATTGCATTTACCTAGAGCCTCTGACCGTATTGCCACGTTCAAAGCACACATGTTCTCAGCACCTATTGGAGCTAAAGCTAGCTGTGCTGTAGTTTTGGCATGTATAGCACTCAAGTTCTGCAAAACCTCTGGCTCCACCTGTGTGTGCTAGCATCAGACCCAAAGCACCAGCAATGAGTGGCTGCCTGGTGGCTGTATCAGTTCCTACAGGAAAACTGTGCATTGGATGCATTAGGATGGTTTTGTAACTCTGAATGCAGGTCTTAGACTACGTTGCACAGTCAGCTGTAGCCTGATTTGTTCACACAGCTTTGTTGCAGCTGTAAAAAGGCATAACAGGTAAAGGGGAGAAATGAGGATCACCTACCAGGCAGCAGGGAAAAGTGCAAGGTATGGTGGAGCCACTGGGGTCTGGAGTTTGGCTGAAGCTTTGTGGGTGAGGAGGGAACTGTGAAATATAGAACTCTATGAGATTTTCTGATGGCCAGCCTAATGTTGGTCTCAGGTAAAGCTGTTGTACAGTGTGGTAAGTTGGTAGCTAGCTATTAGCAAATATTATGTTA